TATAAAATTAGATATTTCAGTAGCAAAGAAACTTGCTTTCCCCTCCCCCTTAGAACCACAATGAAAAGCTTTTTGCAGCAAAATATTGCAATTCAGATCATCAGCAATAATCATTTGTCACCCAAGGGACAGGGTAAGTGGGCTATTCCACTTGCAGAAAAACAGGATAAAGCTCAATTTTTTTAATAGCACATGAGCATTTCCTTAAAACTAAAGTTTCCTGGGCCAGATCCTCAACTGGTATAAATCGTCATAGCTTGGTTGAAACCAATGGCTCTGTGCTGATTTACACCAACTAAGGATCTTGTCTCTTGATTTTTGCTTCCTGGGGAGGGTGAAATTTCATGAAAATGTTTAAAAAATCTCTCAAATCGCAAGCAAAATGTCACCCTAAATTATCCACCTCTTGAGTGAAGAAGAGATATTGGCCCGTTTCTTTCTTTCTTCTGTTTATATCTGTATTGCCTTTATTTCCAGCTATTGTGCATTATTGGAATATTCTTTTAATTGAAATAAGAAGTGACACACATGTCAGAGAATACAAGAAGAAAACATGGTCCTGTGCAGAGGTCTTCAAAAGTGTGGTGTGCTCAGGTCCTAATGATGTCATTGAGAGCACCTCTGGAAATCAGGCTATATCTGTTACCCAAAAGAACATTGGTGCTGAATGTCAAGTATGGGGAATACTAGAGTCACTGTGCAAAACACTGGGGTTGAGTTTCAAATACACGTGGGATCAGCCATGTTTGGAGTGTAACCTGTACTTGAGAAGCTTGAATGAAAACTTCTTATGTGCTCTGGTCCTGATCCAAAGGTGAAACTCTCCTATGGACTTCAGTGAGCTTTGAAGCAGCCCTGTCTGGTTATCTATCATTCTGAGGCTTCCCATTGTATTTTGAGTTTCAACCTTATTGATAACCATGTGACTGAGAGAGTCATTTCCTTCAGGTTCCTAGAGAAAGAGCCTGTGGTTTAGCTGCTCTCTCTGATCTGAGGGTCGTGTGGGGGAAGAGAGAATCTCCAAATGGTGCATTCATCTCTGGAGCTGGATGCAGGCTTTGTGGCTTGAGCCCACTGCTGTAAATAACACATTCTAGAAGAAAACAGTAAATCCGAAACATGAAAAGAGAGAGAGAAAGAAAAGAGGAGGGAGCCCAAGAGAGGAGGGGGGAAGGATCTTTACGATCAAATTTAATTTCTTATGAACTTTATGCTGTTCGGTGAACGTAGTTTGCTGACACCACATCTTCTAAATGAGGCCTCCAGCCCCTTTTCCTTATTATCTTGTAACCTGTATTCCACTCTCTCGTGCTGCACGCGACAGCCTCTGACAGTAGATAAATTCTTTCCTTCTGCATTATCAGGTACTGGCTGAATCTGACTCCCTCGGATATATTCTGGAACACGTCAGACACAGGCTGGGTCAAGTCAGTCTGGAGCAGCATTTTTTCTCCCTGGAGTAGCGGATCATGTGTCTTTATACACAACCTGCCACAGTTTGAACCAGCAACTGTCGCGAATGTAAGAATAACAATTCACACTATGGATTTTATTTCTATTTTGCATAAGTGAAGCAGACCCAGATAATTCAGAATCAAGTACACACTGACCCTCATAAATACCACTCTCCCCCTCCTCCCCGCAACAGCACCAGGCTCCCTTATTTTTAGTGCCTTCTGAGGAAAGGGGCAGGCGATGTCCTATATGTACCCTCTCTCACCCTGGATTTTCAAACAGTGGCTGATGGGCCCACTTCTCCCTGTTGTGTGTCAAGGAGCCAGCCACAGAGCCCACTCCCCTCCACATCATCATCTTCTGTACACAAGACAGCCTGTTTTGCCAAGTACATGGCTGGGAAAGGCTCATCCAGTGATCAGGGCTTTTCCTTGAATCTGGAACATAGTAGTCCTGGGTAGTAGTTAGCAGCCCTGACATTAGAAACACCAGATATTCAGTGTGATCATTAACCTCCTCGTGACTGTCTGAGGGTGAATACTTTTAACTGCTACGGCAACAGGACTGAATGATACAGACCCTGAGACATCACTGGCTTTCCTTACTGAAGTTGAGGGCCAAATTCTTCCCCACTGTGAATTTGGGCACTACATTTAAAATGTTAGGCACTCCAGTTCAACAGTGGTAGGTGCGGTATAGGAACCTGAATGGAACAGAATAAATCCGAATAGGATGGTGTTTTCTAGGGCACTCATAGCCCCATTAGCCACTCGCACATTTGCAGGATCAGGCCCCAATCCATCCTTTCTGTTCAGTATGGTAACTTTCCAATTTTTAATTTTTCCAGACTCTCTCAAGGTATCCCATAACCACTTTCTGCACAGCATCAACTGCCTACTGCATGCTTGTGCAGCATGGGCTTACCAGGTACCATACATCTGCTTATTGATAATGGTAAATAGAAAGAGACACATTTTTAGTGATAGGACAGGGCTCGTTGTTTGGTTCACTACATTGTTTTTGTTTTATTTTCTGCTTTAAATGGCACCTTGTTAAGGGGTCATTCTAAGAAGAGAAAATGTTGTGCTGGAATCCTAGAGCCAATAAAAACCCTATGAATTCAGTTCCTGTGCAATATGGGAGCAAATATTTGGAAAGACAATAAGGATGAACCAAGCCAGTTTGGGCAAGTGCAGCTACCTTCAAACATGGGATTGTTTTAAGGCCCAGAGGTAGCTTGAGGCAAGATATGGCCAACTTTTAGGCAAGACTGGATGAGAGTTATAGCCGTGTATGGCAGAATTTGTCCCATACATTTGAAAGTAAAATGAGCAGTTAAATTGGCCACTCACAAATTGATATTTATTTGGAAGTTGTATCCAGTGATATGCTATTCTCTAGAAATATTCAGCTCAAATGGATGTGGTACATACGTCTTCCTAGCAGTTGTTACACACTGGATAATATATGCAGTTTGTTCAGAGATGATCCTGGCCTTCTGGGGTCTTGTAGCCAGAAGAGCAGGACTTGCATATATGTTTTAGTCCTGCCACAGTTGACTCTTGTCTTGCAAGTGAATCGAAGTTCTGCGCTGCCAACAGCAGCCTCTTCAAACTTCCCTTTGTTTTTAGGAAATCAATATTGTTGGCACTTCTTTGGCCACCAGCATTTAGAACAAACCACACAACTGTGTGAGAGATCTTGGTACAAGCAGGTTACTTTTCTGAACACAGCCATACAAACCCTCTGCTCTTCTCCACTGTCATAGTATGCTTGTTCCGTGCATAAGTTAGCTGAGATCTCCTGTGTTTTCTTGAGTTAGCTCTTCCAAGAAACAGCTGCTCTTTCTTTTCTGTTGACCTCCATAAACGTTTCATTTGCAAGGGTTCCCCATCCTGGTACCATTGAAGCAAATGGAAGCTTTGCATTGACTTCATTGGAAACTGGATCAGGACCTAAGATGATCTAAGAGTCAAAGTACAACCTTCTACAGCATGATAATTATTTAAATTTTCCACAGTGGCACTTGAGGTTGGAGGCATGTGTCAACAGTTTAAAGTTAAGGGAGGTTGGCCAGCTAAAACCATTTGCAGTGCTTTGAAAACTGTAGGGTTATTGATTCTTATTGTTTTCTGTTCCTCTCGAGTTACAAATTCATGAGTCTGCGTCACTGTGTGACTGGAGGGGAGCCGCTCAATCCAGAAGTGATGAAGCAATGGAAAACCCAAACAGGTCTGGATATCTATGAAGGCTATGGCCAGACGGAAACAGTACGTCTGCACTAATTATCACATGGTAACCTCTAACAATATAACTTTACGTGGGCACAATGCATCTGGCAAAACCATGGGAAAGGGCAGGAATTTACTTAGTTCAAGGTCGTTAAGGAAGCTATAGGTGAATTAGGTATTGAGTTTTATATAATCAACATAACAACTAGACTTATAGATTTTAAAGCCTGAATGATCCATTATGATTATCACATCTGACCCCCTGCATAACACAGGCCACAGAATTTCACCTAATGAACAGGAGCAACACTTTGAGAAAGAGAAACTAGAAGTAATTAGCTACAAAAACTCACATGCCACGTTTTGAATTGCAATAGAAAACAGAAAACCAACTTCATAGCAAGATTTGTGTATATAGAAATTTAGTGTCTGAACATAACAAAAATACCTAGGGCCAAATTCAGCCCTTCTTTAATTTTATCTTCAAACTGGACACACAGTAATGCTGCAAGACCAGGGTCCCTTTACATCCCTTTTCTGGAAAGTTGAGGTGTGTCCACAGAACCACCCGCACAGCTAGCCAGGTACACAAGCAATCTCAGCAGGGGAGGTGGGAAACATGCACTGAAATATGTGGACGATGCCTCTTGACAGCGACACTGCGCCATCAACTGGTCTCTCTTGCTGGGAGTGGGTTTGTGGAAACAGAAAAGTTGTGTGCCACTTGGCAATTTTTTCTTCTCCTCATACAAATACTCAGAAGAGGTGACATGGAGTTGGCCCTCAAAAGTTATCACATGTGAACATTGTCGGCTAGATTAAAATCACTAAGAACCCTACTATGTTGCACAAATAAAAAAACATGTATTATATAGGTTACAATATGTGCCAACGTGAAAGGAATGAAAATTAAACCAGGCTCTATGGGAAAGGCATCTCCACCTTACGATGTTCAGGTATGTTGATACATTTTCCTGGTTGAACTCTATCTAAAATATGAGAGGAAAATAGTTCTCATCCTTGTCTCCCCCATTATAGTTGTGAATGGTAAAGAAATTACATTGGGCCAGTCAAAACAATCATGTTTTTCTTCCTGCAGGTTGTAGATGACCAGGGTGATATTTTGCCTCGAGGAGAAGAAGGAAACATTGCCATCCGAATCAAACCTACAAGGCCATTTTGTCTTTTCTCTCAGTATTTAGTAAGGAGACTTTTTATTGTATTCAGAAAAGTTTCATGCCACTTACCAGACATATTGAGAAGTGGATAGGTAAAATCTTGGCTCTATTGAAATCAAAATTTCCTTTGACTTGAATGGGGCCAGGATTTCACCCCAAAAGTTCACAAGGTTTCTTAGGGTATGTCTATGCTGCAATTAAACACCCACAGCTGGCCCTTGTCAGCTGACACAGTTTCCCTGAGCCCAGGGAACAGGGCTGTTTAATTGTGGTATAGATGCCTAGGCTCTGCAAGGGGGAAGGGTCCCAGAGCCCAGGCTCCAACCTGACCCCAAACATCTACACTGTAATTTTATAGCCCCATAGTCTGAGCCCTACATGACATGAGCCAGTTGCAGGTGTTTTATTGCAGTGTAGACATACCCCAAGAGTCCCAGTCTGCCTCACAGTTTCCTCATTGCTATGAGGTGGGGGCAGGCAGTATGCTATTCTAGATCTCTGTCTAGCACAGCATACATCCCCTGACACCCCAACATAGCTTTGTTAGTGTGTATGCTCAATGCTCCACCAATTCCCACTCCTTCCATTCGCCTGCAGGGGTGGAGAATGATGTAGCAGCTCTGCAGAAGCTGCTCTGCCTCCCACACAGCTACCCAGGGACATTAAGAGATGTCATATTCCCCTGCACCTATGCAAGCCATCCACGATTTTGGCCCTTTGAGTCTACGTTCTGCTGAAGAATACAGAGCACGTGTTCCGGCTATATCCTGCATGTGTGGTCTTTTTGTCCTGCTCTCTGTTGGAGACATCATCCCACCTGATGAAGCGTGTGTGATCTTAGCTAAATATTAGTATACAAACCACAGTACTGAAATCTCAAAGCATGGGGGATCATTTTGTTTTTTAAATGGTGATGGCATATACACCCTAACATGACTACACAAATGGGAATGTTTCATAGGTTAGTGCTAGTGTAACAGGTTTGTAAAATGTGTGTCCTGTTGTCTTCCTCAGTGGATAGTCCTCATGGAAGGTAACTACTCCTGTATCTGGTGGACGTACTCCTTGAGATAAAGTGGTAGAGAGCTGTGTTTTGCTACTGAAACTCTAAGCTCAAAACCTCCCCTGACCCTTTGCTGAGGGTCATTGCACTAGTAAATAATAATTTCTCTCTTGAGAAGGAAGGTTGTATATTTGAATAATTAGTTCTGCTGAGGGGAATTTCTGACGGAACACATCTTTCCCTTCTCCCTCTAATGCACAGTGCTAATCATAATGACAGGTTTCAGAGTAGCAGCCGTGTTAGTCTGTATCAGCAAAAAGAACAGGAATACTTGTGTCACCTTAGAGACTAACAAATTTATTAGAGCATAAGCTTTCGTGGACTACAGCCCACTTCTTTGGATGCATATAGAGTGGAATAAATATTGAGGAGATATATATACACACATACAGAGAGCATAAACAGGGGGGGGTTGTCTTACCAACACTGAGAGGCCAATTTAGTAAGAGGAAAGTTGGTAAGACAAATCCCACCTGTTTATGCTCTCTGTATGTGTGTATATATATCTCCTCAATATTTATTCCACTCTATATGCATCCAAAGAAGTGGGCTGTAGTCCACGAAAGCTTATGCTCTAATAAATTTGT